CAGGGTGTGATCGCCGCACGGCGCATCACACTACGACGTGACGGCGTGGAACACAAAACAAAACACATCGTACTGACCTTTGCAATGACCACCCTTCCACAAGCTGTCAAGGCAGGTTACCTGCATTGCCGCGTTCGGCCATACGTACCGAACCCGCTGCGCTGCTTCAAGTGCCAGCGGTTCGGCCACGGCTCACAGAGCTGCCGCGGATTTGACACGTGTGCGAGGTGCTCTAGCAAAGAGCATCTCGCAGATCACTGTGAGAACGAACCAAAGTGCACCAATTGCGAAGGGAAGCACCCTGCATATTCTCGGTCTTGTTCTCTCTGGAAGCAAGAAAAAGAAATACTTACATTGAAGGTCCAAGAGAACATTCCATACCATGAGGCAAAGAAGCGTGTCTTGTTTGCCTCACGTGGTTCATATGCAGAGGCTGTGCACAGGGGACCTGCACGGCCGATGGTGTCTACGGGGACGCAGACATCTTCGGATGACCTGCGTGTCCCGTCGGGGTCCTCCTCCACCTCGAGAGTGGTGCGGCAAACACCGCCTCTGAGCACTAGGAAAGATGTGGGCGTGCCCACACCCAGTAAGGAGCAAGGCTTGGCGACCCTTGCTCCTCGCACCGCTCTGCCCCCCAAAGGACGGGGTATGGCACCCCGCCCTTCTGGTACCCAGACGATCCCTGGCCTGCCAACCAGGCCAGCGACATCCCAGGGTCAGCCATTGGCGACAACCACCGACGAGCCAATGGATCAAAGTGTGCTCAAGTCCGACGAGGACAGGTCCATGTCAGGGTCCGAGTGTTCCCTTTCCGGCACTGGTGGATCCACCAGTGAGCAGAAGGGTGCCACTAAAAAGAAAAACACACCTCGAATAAAGATCGATTTTAAGACCTGAAAATATATTCCTTGTCTGTATTTAATCTTTTCTTCATTTTTACGTTTTTAACTTTTTAGATTTCACTCTTTTAAATTATGGCCTGCTTTATGCAATGGAACTGCAGAGGTCTTTTTTGTAATTTAGATGATGTGAAGCTCTTGTTGCAGAGGCATGAACCCTCTGCATTTTGCCTCCAAGAGACTTACCTCAAACCACCCAACAGCAACTTTCTTAGATCATATCAAGTCTACAGGAAGGACCGCGTGACTACCTCTGGCGCTGCCGGTGGAGTTGCTATTGTCGTAGACAGTGGCACTCCTGCATATGAGGTCCCCCTAGACACGCCCCTGGAGGCCGTTGCGGTGAGGTTACTACAGCAACGCCTTATTACAATTTGCTCCATTTACATCCCCCCTTCATTTGCCCTAGAACTCGCCCAACTTGAAACTTTAGTCGATCAGCTCCCTGAACCTTTTATTTTAATGGGCGACTTTAATGCACACAATCCCCTCTGGGGTAGTGTCCGAACTGACACTCGAGGTGCTGTTGTGGCGCGGTTTTTATCTCTCAGAGAAGTATGTGTATTAAATACAGGCGAACCAACATATTTCAGTTCTGCTAATCACTCCTTTTCTTGCATTGACCTCACTATTTGTTCCACTGCACTCTTTACAGATTTTATTTGGAATGTATTGGATAACCCTTATGGAAGCGACCATTTTCCGGTGTATCTTACTCCCTTAGAAGTCCTGCCCAGGCTGCCTTGTCGTTCCCCCTGTTGGAAGATCTCTTCAGCAGATTGGAACCTTTTTCAGTCAAATATCCCCTCTTCACTGGATCTTTCGCAAGCGGCCTCCGTGGACGAAGAAAATGCTCTCATAATAACAGCAATTGTTGAGGCAGCCCGTCTGTCCATCCCACAGACATCCGGCAAGCTGCCGAGACGTCCTAAACCGTGGTGGGATAATGAGTGTAAAGAACCCCGAAACCGCCAAAACTGTTCTTGGGCAAGATTTGGAAGGTATCCCACTTCCATAAACCTCCTGGCATTTAAGCAATTACGTGCAAAAGCCCGCTATATTAGGAAACGGGCAAAAAGGAGATCCTTTTGTTCATATGCATCTTCTATTAATAGTTTCACGCCAGCGAAGATTGTCTGGGACAGAGTAGGTAGAATGGATGGTGACTACCATCCTTTCTCAATCCCCTTGCTGTTAGACGAGAAGGGACAAGCATTTTCATCATTATATGAACAAGCCAACGCACTTGGTAGACACTTTGCACAAGTCTCTAGTTCTGAAAACTACACTGCAGAGTTTCTGCAGTTTAAGTCCAAGCACGAGAGAATTCCAATTCGTAGATCAGAAGATTGCACTGAAAAATATAATTGTCCTTTCTCCCTCGTCGAGCTCCGTCGAGCCCTTGCTGCTGCAAAGCCTACATCCCCTGGACTTGATGCAATTCACCCTAGCATGCTTTCTCATCTACCTGAAACATTTCTAGTTATTCTCCTCCAGTTTTTTAACATCATCTGGGTGAAAGGAAAGTTTCCTAGCACCTGGAAACAGGCTATTGTCATCCCCATCTTAAAACAAGGAAAGGACAGAAGTAAAGCCACGAGCTACAGGCCAATTGCCCTTACTAGCTGTTTGGGGAAAACTTTTGAGCGGCTGGTCAACAACAGGCTAATCTACATACTAGAAGAAAAGAACCTACTAAGCAATTTCCAGTGTGGTTTCCGCACTTCCAGGTCTACTGTTGACCACCTGGTACGTCTTGAAACGACGGTCCGCGAGGCTTTCATAAATAAGCAATTTTGTCTGTCTGTATTTTTCGACCTTGAAAAAGCTGACGACACCGCCTGGCGGTACGGCATACTCCAGGACCTTATCTCTATGGACATAAAAGGGAGAATGTTCAACTGCATTGCTGACTTTCTGCAGGATCGTAGCTTTCAGGTACGCCTGGGAGCTACAATCTCCGACCCTTTCCCCCAGGAGAATGGCGTGCCGCAGGGCTGTGTCTTAAGCGTCACTTTGTTTATTATAAAGATAAATTCTCTATCTCAAGTAATTCCGCCCACAATCTCTCATTCTCTTTACGTCGACGATGTCCAGGTTTGTTTTTCTTCATGTAACTTAGCCATCTGTGAGCGACAAGTTCAACTTACGGTGAACAGGATGAGTAGGTGGGCTGACCAGAATGGCTCCGGTTTTCTGCCGAGAAGACTGTAGCTGTTTGTTTTTCTCGAAAACGAGGAATGTCTCCTGAGGCATCATTGTATATTAAAGGTACACCCATTCCGGTTAAATCGGAGCATAAGTTTTTAGGCCTAGTATTCGATAGTAAATTAACTTTTGGCCCACATATAAAGGAACTAAGATTAAAATGTCAGCGAAAGTCGAATCTTCTTAAGGTCCTTGCACACCGTTCTTGGGGTTCCGACCGTGTCTGCCTTTTGCGAATCTACAGGGCCTGTGTTCGCTCAGTTTTGGATTATGGAAGTATTGTTTATGGTTCTGCCAAACCCTCTACACTTAAAATGTTAGACCCAATCCATCACCAGGGAATCAGACTGGCAACCGGAGCCTTTCGAACGTCCCCCGTGCCCAGCTTGTATGCCGAGTCAAATGAGTGGTCGCTTGACAAACGTAGATTTTATCTTAGCACGCAGTACTATTTAAGACTCCGTACTCTTCCACAGCACCCAAATTTTTCTTTGATTGAAAGCATAAAATATGAGCAGGCCTTTCAAAACAAGCCATCCGTAACGCGTCCCTTTGCACTTCGTGTGAAGGATGCTGCAGCGACTTATAGTTTTGACATATCTTGTTCTGTCATGGAATTACATTAAAATCATCTGGTGGGCTAGTTGGCTAAACATAATGAGAAAATTAGCGCAAATACAAGGAAGGAAGAACGTTAGGACAGGAAAGAGCGCTACTTACAACTGGCTTTAATTATAAGGTGAAAAAAAAAAAAGCACGGCTCTTAAAAAGTCATGTCCGCATTCAGCGGGGGAGAGCTTTGACGCTCAAGTTCACCGACTGAGGTGTTCAGGTTTTCCTGACTCAATCTTATTTGATGTTGCAGAACGTCTGCTCACGTCACAGAAAAGACAACGAAAATCAGAAAAGACACGGCGTCCTGCTATTGTTCCCTATATCCATCGCTTGGCACACAATCTCAAGACAGTAGCCTCCAAGTATGATGTACAGGTAGCACTTTCAGCACCGGACAAGCTCAAAAAACTTTGCCCAAGAATAAACAACACAAAAGAAGAAAATGTCCAATGCCAAACAAGACACCAACATAAGTACGTGGACTGTAAGAGTCATGTCGTTTATGAAGTACCTTTTTCCTGTGGAAAGGTCTATGTGGGGCAGTCGGGTCGCTGCATCAATGTTAGATTGAGAGAGCATGACCTCTCACTGAAAGCCTCTCCATCTGGACATCTTGCGGTGCATGTTCGTGACTGTCATTGTACCCCTTTGTTTAATCAGACGAAGGTGTTAAAACATCTCAATGACAAAAGAGCTAGAGAAATCTATGAAGCGTACAAGATCAAGAAAGAAGAAAGCAAATGTGTTAGTGCCCCGTCAGTCTTCCTTTCAGAGAAAGAGCTGAGATACCTCGACACGTGCCCCTGATATTTGCGTCCTGCTGCTTGGTTACCGGCAACAGTGTCGCCACTTCATGCTGGAAGAATTTGCCGGTGTCCCGTGTGTGTGTGTGTGCGGCTACTGCAAGTGACTCATGTGTGACCAATAGAACTGCGGGATGGTCACCGGCAGCAGTTCGCCTCTTCATGCTCGCAAAGGATTTGCCGGTGTCTCGTGTGTGTGCTGCTAGTGCTGCTGCCTGCGCATTTGCCAATGCGATTCTGCAGATCTGCCTTTATTTTATTTTATTCTATTTTATTATTTAATTTGTATTTTCACCTTAATTATTTTCGCTCTCTGTATCACTTCTTTTTTGTCAGTATTTTGTTCCCCTCTCCGGGTTTGCTTTCTTTTTCTTTTTTTCTTTTTTCACCTTATAATTAAAGCCAGTTGTAAGTAGCGCTCTTTCCTGTCCTAACGTTCTTCCTTCCTTGTATTTGCGCTAATTTTCTCATTATGTTTAGCCAACTAGCCCACCAGATGATTTTAATGCAGTTCCTTTCTTCTACAAAGGGCCCTTTTTCGTACTGTAGCTCTCCCCTGGATTCAGTTTCTTTTTACATCAATGTTATCGCCATGTCCACCTGCAAGGCGAGATTCTATTCCTTCGCCATCAGAAATGGAGTCGTCCCACACGACCTCTATGGGTTGTTCGGCTGCGCAAGGCCGTCTATTCAGCATTCCAAGAGGATTTGCAGAATTGTTCGATCTGAGATGTGGCGACAAGTCCGGTACTACAGAAATTGCCTCTGGGTGATGGCTGGCTGCTGGTACCACGATGGCGGTCAAAGACAAAGACACAAGGCCTTCCTGGAAGCAGCAAGCAGGCTGACGGAGTTTATCTGGTTGTCGTACGTGCCTCAACTCAAGAGCCTTCGTGCCCAAAGCAAGCAGCAAAAAGGCGAGTGTGTCACATTGCTGGATGTCCCTTCTTTACCTGAAAAATTTACGAAGGTCCTTGAAAAAGGTCCAAAATTTTGTACTCCTCCAAAAAGGGAAGGTGTTCATCTCTTGTCAACTGTGCACGACATAGCTTCCAAAACTCATGAAAATAATAAATCCAGATGCATAGAAGACTGTGTTGAAGTCCTGCAAAAAGCTACTGCCTCTGAAGGAAGCCAGACAGTGTTTTATCCGATTGTTGATTATTTCAGAAAAAATGAATTAAACCTAATTATATCTGACAAGGAAGGGGGGTTCGTTGTAACAAATAGAGCTATCTACCTAGAAAAAACCCAGTGTGCCATAGACAAGAGTTTCAACCAGTTGCAAGGCTTCAGAGCGAAGGCTGTCAAATCCAAGGCCATTCAGTTGTGCAGCCGCCTGGACTTGGTGCCTCTAAGGAAGCTTATCTCCACATCAAAAAAAGACCAACTGGACATGTTTTTTACTGCAAAAACGCACAAGCTAGGATGTCCTTTCCGAGTCATTGTAACAGAAAAAGGATCGTGGCAGGCCAATATGTCGCGATTCCTCCTCCGTCATCTGTCTACCCTTCCACTGAATGACCCTTTTTTGATTCCAAATTCTGACGTGCTGGTTCAATATCTGCAGCAAAACAACACGTCTGTTCGCTATGGGTTTTCCCTGGATGTTGAAGACTTGTTCTACTCCATTCCGCACGTCAAGCTCTTCACAGCCGTAAGGGAATCCATCGAAGAAAACGGGACCATCTCCTTTCAGAATCAATGTGGCGTTCAGGTCGAATCTTTTTTAGAACTACTGAAGTTCTACTTGTCAGCCACAATTGTCACGTTCAATGATGCATTTTACCTGCAAAAGAAAGGTATATGCATAGGGTCGTGCGTGGCGCCTGTCCTCTGCGAAATTTTTCTGGCCAAATGTGATAGGGCTATAGCCGACAGGTTCACTGACGCACATGTCTCACACATTTTTCGCTACGTGGACGATTACCTTGTCCTCCTTAAACAACGACCTGTTAGCAACGAGAAGCAGTTTTTGAGCCACATACGATCCACCTTCATCGAGCAAGCAGAGGGTCTTAAGTTCACTGATGAATCACCGGAGAATGCCACCCTCCAGTTTCTGGATTTGAGACTGTCGTTCCTGCAAGACCACACCTGTTCGATGTATTCCCCACGCTCCAAGAAACGACTTTTACCGTATGACTCTGCTCATTCTAAACTCATCAAGAGAGCTATTGTCACTGGATGCTTCAGCACGGCTCTTAAAAAGTCATGTCCGCATTCAGCGGGGGAGAGCTTTGACGCTCAAGTTCACCGACTGAGGTGTTCAGGTTTTCCTGACTCAATCTTATTTGATGTTGCAGAACGTCTGCTCACGTCACAGAAAAGACAACGAAAATCAGAAAAGACACGGCGTCCTGCTATTGTTCCCTATATCCATCGCTTGGCACACAATCTCAAGAGAGTAGCCTCCAAGTATGATGTACAGGTAGCACTTTCAGCACCGGACAAGCTCAAAAAACTTTGCCCAAGAATAAACAACACAAAAGAAGAAAATGTCCAATGCCAAACAAGACACCAACATAAGTACGTGGACTGTAAGAGTCATGTCGTTTATGAAGTACCTTTTTCCTGTGGAAAGGTCTATGTGGGGCAGTCGGGTCGCTGCATCAATATTAGATTGAGAGAGCATGACCTCTCACTGAAAGCCTCTCCATCTGGACATCTTGCGGTGCATGTTCGTGACTGTCATTGTACCCCTTTGTTTAATCAGACGAAGGTGTTAAAACATCTCAATGACAAAAGAGCTAGAGAAATCTATGAAGCGTACAAGATCAAGAAAGAAGAAAGCAAATGTGTTAGTGCCCCGTCAGTCTTCCTTTCAGAGAAAGAGCTGAGATACCTCGACACGTGCCCCTGATATTTGCGTCCTGCTGCTTGGTTACCGGCAACAGTGTCGCCACTTCATGCTGGAAGAATTTGCCGGTGTCCCGTGTGTGTGTGTGTGCGGCTACTGCAAGTGACTCATGTGTGACCAATAGAACTGCGGGATGGTCACCGGCAGCAGTTCGCCTCTTCATGCTCGCAAAGGATTTGCCGGTGTCTCGTGTGTGTGCTGCTAGTGCTGCTGCCTGCGCATTTGCCAATGCGATTCTGCAGATCTGCCTTTATTTTATTTTATTCTATTTTATTATTTAATTTGTATTTTCACCTTAATTATTTTCGCTCTCTGTATCACTTCTTTTTTGTCAGTACTTTGTTCCCCTCTCCGGGTTTGTTTTCTTTTTCTTTTTTCTTTTTTCACCTTATAATTAAAGCCAGTTGTAAGTAGCGCTCTTTCCTGTCCTAACGTTCTTCCTTCCTTGTATTTGCGCTAATTTTCTCATTCTGTCATGGAAACTGAACAAAGACTTGCTCCTTGGGACGACCTAACTATAAAATGCGACCTCTCTTTGACAAAATACAACAAGAAAGTGGCAGCCGGTAGTGTTATAAAACAATAATTTTTTGAGATTGCTAGTCGTTACGAGACGGACAAAAGTTTTTTTACTGATGGGGCGAAAGGTGCTGGCTATGCTGGCTGCGCTGCAGTTGGGCAATCCTACCATTGTGTTATTCGAATTAATGCCAATGCATCTGTGTTTACAGCTGAGCTTCATGGACTCTTAGTGATTGTAGATGAAATAATCAAACAAAAATACAGAGTATCTGTGATATCTACAGACTCGCTCAGTTCCCTTCTTGCCCTTAACTCTGCAACATCCTGGAAGCATCCCCTGGTTTGTCTGCTTCGTGTTAAACTAATGAATGCTATAAAGCAAAACATCTCTATTCACTTTTGCTGGGTTCCTAGCCATATAGGAATACACGGCAATGAGGAAGCCGACCGAGCCACAGGTGCATGTGTAAACAGGTCCATTGAAATTCACACCCTCCCAGTGACAGATTATAAAACCATACTACGAAATAAAATCAAAGATTCTTGGCAAGCAGAGTGGGACTCTGACCCTCACAATAAGCTATATAAAGTTAAACCTGTTTTGAGTGAATGGCGCAGCGCCAGACATCGAGAAAGGTTCTATGAAGTCATCTTATGTCGACTGAGGATAGGCCACACACACCTGACTCACAGCTACCTTCTAAGAAACGACGACCCACCGATGTGTGACAACTGCTCGGAAACTTTCAAGTGTACTTCACATCCTTTTAGTATGCCCACAATTTAATAGCGAACGCCGCTCCTAGTTTTCTATCTTTTTGAGAAAACAAATACCTTTCCACTTGGCACTTTTGCTTGGAGACGAGCCCGTTACTCCGTACAGACAAGTTTTTAACTTTTTAGAAAAGTTGAATATTTTACATCGACTTTAAACTACAATCTTGTTTAAGTGATATTTGATATTTTGACCCACAGCAATAGTAAATATTTAGTCTTGTGATATTTACTTACCCTGTGTTTGGCACACTATGCTCTATGTTGCTGCTGCGCCAGGAAACTCCAAATTCATTCATTCAGCGGGGAAACATCCCATATTGGAGAAAATGAAAGATGTTTACAAATCTCTCTAATGCGAAACTAGAGCGCAGCTTTTAAGGAGGAAGAGGGAAGTGTATGCTCCTCCTCCTCCTCCATACCCTCCTCTCCTTCTCCCCTCCTCTACCTTCTCCTCCTTTCCTCCTCCTCGCCTCCTGCCACTGAGTTTGTACTTGGGTGACGTGACACGAGGTCATAACGTCATTTTTCCCGCTAAATTTAGCGGGGAAGCCGAATTGTGTTGAGGTCAGGTAACGTCAATTTCCCGCTAAATTTTGCGGGGAAACTTAACGCGCTAAAGTTAGCGGGGGAATTTTCCTGCAAAATTTCCCCGCTACCTTCAGCGGGGAAACATCCCATATTGGAGAAAATGAAAGATGTTTACAAATCTCTCTAATGCGAAACTAGAGCGCAGCTTTTGAAGAGGAAGAGGGAAGTGTATGCTCCTCCTCCTCCTCCATACCCTCCTCTCCTTCTCCCCTCCTCTACCTTCTCCTCCTTTCCTCCTCCTCTCCTCCTGCCACTGAGTTTGTACTTGGGTGACGTGACACGAGGTCATGACGTCATTTTTCCCGCTAAATTTAGCGGGGAAGCCGAATTGTGTTGAGGTCAGGTAACGTCAATTTCCCGCTAAATTTTGCGGGGAAACTTAACGCGCTAAAGTTAGCGGGGGAATTTTCCTGCAAAATTTAGCAGGGAAATTTTCCCGCTAAGTTAGCGGGAAAATTTCCCCGCTATTTTCAGCGGGGAAACATCCCATATTGGAGAAAATGAAAGATGTTTACAAATCTCTCTAATGCGAAACTAGAGCGCAGCTTTTGAAGAGGAAGAGGGAAGTGTATGCTCCTCCTCCTCCTCCATACCCTCCTCTCCTTCTCCCCTCCTCTACCTTCTCCTCCTTTCCTCCTCCTCGCCTCCTGCCACTGAGTTTGTACTTGGGTGACGTGACACGAGGTCATGACGTCATTTTCCCCGCTAAATTTAGCGGGGAAGCCGAATTGTGTTGAGGTCAGGTAACGTCAATTTCCCGCTAAATTTTGCGGGGAAACTTAACGCGCTAAAGTTAGCGGGGGAATTTTCCTGCAAAATTTAGCAGGGAAATTTTCCCGCTAAGTTAGCGGGAAAATTTCCCCGCTACCTTCAGCGGGGAAGCATCCCATATTGGAGAAAATGAAAGATGTTTACAAATCTCTCTAATGCGAAACTAGAGCGCAGCTTTTGAGGAGGAAGAGGGAAGTGTATGCTCCTCCTCCTCCTCCATACCCTCCTCTCCTTCTCCCCTCCTCTACCTTCTCCTCCTTTCCTCCTCCTCGCCTCCTGCCACTGAGTTTGTACTTGGGTGACGTGACACGAGGTCATGACGTCATTTTCCCCGCTAAATTTAGCGGGGAAGCCGAATTGTGTTGAGGTCAGGTAACGTCAATTTCCCGCTAAATTTTGCGGGGAAACTTAACGCGCTAAAGTTAGCGGGGGAATTTTCCTGCAAAATTTAGCAGGGAAATTTTCCCGCTAAGTTAGCGGGAAAATTTCCCCGCTACCTTCAGCGGGGAAACATCCCATATTGGAGAAAATGAAAGATGTTTACAAATCTCTCTAATGCGAAACTAGAGCGCAGCTTTTGAAGAGGAGGAGGGAAGTGTATGCTCCTCCTCCTCCTCCATACCCTCCTCTCCTTCTCCCCTCCTCTACCTTCTCCTCCTTTCCTCCTCCTCGCCTCCTGCCACTGAGTTTGTACTTGGGTGACGTGACAGGAGGTCATGACGTCATTTTCCCCGCTAAATTTAGCGGGGAAGCCGAATTGTGTTGAGGTCAGGTAACGTCAATTTCCCGCTAAATTTTGCGGGGAAACTTAACGCGCTAAAGTTAGCGGGGGAATTTTCCTGCAAAATTTAGCAGGGAAATTTTCCCGCTAAGTTAGCGGGAAAATTTCCCCGCTACCTTCAGCGGGGAAACATCCCATATTGGAGAAAATGAAAGATGTTTACAAATCTCTCTAATGCGAAACTAGAGCGCAGCTTTTGAGGAGGAAGAGGGAAGTGTATGCTCCTCCTCCTCCATACCCTCCACTCCTTCTCTCCTCCTCTACCTTCTCCTTTCCTCCTCCTCTCCTCCTGCGACTGAGTTTGTACTTGGGTGACGTGACACGAGGTCATGACGTCATTTTCCCCGCTAAATTTAGCGGGGAAGCCGAATTGTGTTGAGGTCAGGTAACGTCAATTTCCCGCTAAATTTTGCGGGGAAACTTAACGCGCTAAAGTTAGCGGGGGAATTTTCCTGCAAAATTTAGCAGGGAAATTTTCCCGCTAAGTTAGCGGGAAAATTTCCCCGCTACCTTCAGCGGGGAAACA